CAACCCTAACATTTCTGAAGAGCATAGGTATAAAAAAAGCTACCCTGAGAATGTGTGCTGTGGAGGCTGTGCCTCTGAACTCCTCAACATCCACAGGAATCAAAATATCTGTTTCAGAAATAGTGTGGCCAGCTGGCCTAAGGAAGCTATTCTTCCCCTGTGCTCAGCTCTAGTGAGGTCACATCTTGAGTCCTGCATTCAGGTCTGGGCCTTCCAGTTCAGGAAGGACTTTGAGGTGATGGAGCAAATTCAGAAAAGGGAAAGAAACTAAGCTGTGAAGCACAACAAAGCCTGGAGCACAGATATTAAGAGAAGCAGAGGTATTTATCCTGAAAATGAGGAGGCTGAGGGGAGACCTCATTGCACTCTACAGCTCCCTGAAATGAAGGGTTGGCCAGGTTAGGGTCAGACTTTTCTCTGAGGCAACTGGCAATAGGACAAGAGGGCACAGCCTTAAGCTGTACCAGGGGACGTCAAAGTTGGACATTAGGAGTAATTTCTTCAAGAAAGGGTGATTAGACATTGGAATATGCTGCCCAGAGAGGGTGGCGTTACGGTCCCTGGAGGTGTTTAAGAAAAGCCTGGACGTAGCACGCAGTGCCGGGTGACACGGTGGTGTTGGGTCACAGGTAGGACTCGATGATCTCGGAGATCTTTTCCACCTTCATTGATTCTGTGAATTCCACACAAGGTATCCGGTTAATCTCACATCCCGTGACTGCACGCCTGAATCCGGCCGCGGAGAAGCGCTCCCAACACGCCGCCGGCAGCCGGGCGGCACCGCGCCGCACATCCCCCCCCTGCCATCCGCCTTGCTCCGCCCGCTGCCGGCCTGCCCCTCCCGGCGCGGGGCGGCCGTGCCCGGTGTCCCGGTGTCCCCGCCCCGCCCGGCCCCGCGGCCGCCGCCGCCATCGCCATGAAGTGCCACTACGAGGTGCTGGGCGTGCGGCGCGACGCGGCCGAGGAGGAGCTGAAGCGGGCGTACCGCCGGCTGGCGCTGCGCTGGCACCCGGGTACGGCCCGGCCTCGGCCCCGGCCCCGGCCTCGGCCCCGGCCCCGCGCGGCGCGGGGGCACCGCGCTGCCGCCTGGCTCGGTGCCGGCGGCGGCGGGGCGTCTGCTGCCGCCGAGGCTGACCGCCGCTGACACGGTTTCGTTAAATTGTCCTGCAGATAAAAACCTCGAGAACGCGGAGGAGGCAGCGGAGCAGTTCAAGTTGATCCAGGCGGCGTACGACGTGCTCAGCGACCCACAGGAACGGGCCTGGTGAGCGGCGCTTGGTCTGGCAGAGGCTTTATTAGCCCTGGCTGTGCCAGGGCTTGTCCTGTGCTGCTCCTGGGCCTCGATGCAAGTCAGCGCGGGCAGCCGTGGGAGGGCAGCCGGCTGGTTTTAGGCTTGGCAAGAGAGCCACGCAGCCCCATGGAGGGCACAGCTCCGTACTCTCACCTTCCTCGGGTGTGCCGGGAGCTGAGGGCCTGCTGGGCCCCGAGGAGCGCCCTGCCAGCAGCAGGCTTGGCCTGCTTCCTCCTCCCCGAGCTCGGGGCCGCTTTTCACAGCAGCTCTGGTCAGCTCTCAGACCTTGGGCACTGCGTACAGGTGTTCAGTTCTAATTTGAAATACACACATACACATCTCTAAGGGATCGCTATTCTGAATGTTCTCTGTAGAACACATAGGGTGAAGTACATACATTACATAGCCAAACCCACCTATCTGGAGTTTGTTCTCCTTGAAATACAGGGCTGTCTTTCAGTTTTTCAGTGCTTTTGTATGATTTGGCGGTTTTTTGAGTACATGCAAGTATTGGGTGATGTAAATAATACTGTAGCCCTTTCTGGAAGTTTGGTAAGGCATCTTTCTCAAATGTCATTGATTGGTAGCTGGCTGTTGAGGGATTACTGCTAAAGATACTGCAGATAAAGTAATAGTAAGTAAAGTAAAGGTCAAGAGGGAATATCTACTGGGTCTGTCCTGTTTTTTCTCTCTGAAGACTTTGGATGTGAGAGACAAATTACGGACAGTGGCTTAAGCTATACAGTGATGTGATAGGCGTACTGTGTTAGTTTATCAGCATGGAGGGGTGTTCTATGTAATCTTTGATGCTGTCAATTTTTTCTAGGTATGATAGTCACAGGGAGGCTCTGCTGAAAGGGGGAGTTGATGGAGACTATCAAGATGATAGCTTAGATCTGCTGCACTACTTCACTGTTAGCTGTTACTCTGGATATGGGGATGATGAAAAGGTAAGGCATCAATCTTTAATTAATCAGCTTAAAATTCATTATAAGTGTTAGCATTTGTTTTGTGTTAAAGTTATATGTAGAATTGTTAGCACAAGTTACACAAACCTAAGACAAAACTTAACGTGGATGTATAAGGAGGCTTTAATTCTTGTATATTGTCCAACAGTTACTTAATCAAAATGTCCAGCTGTGCTGTACAAGTACAAATGTGTGCATATTGTTTATTTATCTTATATAGTGAAGCATTCCAGGGCTTTGCAATGCCATCTGTTTATTTAGAAATACCTTTATCAAGCTAGAATGCTGAAAATTACAGAAAAGCAATGTAACAGTTGCCTTTGGGGAAGGTGTGCTTGCTATAATTGAATTCCCTGTTGGATTTTTGAATTTCCCATTGGATTTTAGAATACTCACTATATTTAATATATTGAAAAGCTCCAGGTGATTAGAAAAACATCAACCAGAAGAAATACTTACCTGCCCTTTTGTTACTGTACTAGTAGTCAGTTAGTAACATATTAATCTAAAAAAATATAGGATATTTAATAGTGAATTTTATGTCTGGAGCTTCCACAGAACTTGATCCTGCGTAACTAGAAACTTATCTCCAGCATATGGAAACTTTCTTTCTTCTAAAGTTTGATTACACATGTAAGAGAGACAGAGTGTGAGGAAGGTGGAAATAAAAGCCTTGAGAGATAGTGGAACTTTATTAAGAAGGGTCTTGTACCTCAAGCAAGTGCTTACAAGGCCTTTATCCTGGTTTTGAGTTGCTCTTGCAGTGTAGCAACGTTTCTTTAAAATACACTGCACATGAGCATTTGTACATCTATTATTGTGCCATGCAAAGGGTTTGTTTATTATTTATTTATTGATTTATTTATTTAAGGGATTCTTTACAGTCTACCGACAAGTTTTTGAGATGATTGCAAAGGAAGAATTAGAATATATGACACAGGAAGATATTGAAGAATTCCCTATGTTTGGATATTCCCACAGTGACTATGATACGGTAAGGGCAAGTGTAAAACGGAGGTTCAGGTAACAGAGTTAAACCATTACTTTGTCCCAAAGGAAGGGTGCCTGCTGATCTCTGAGGTGAATATCATGCATCCGTGGTTATTTTCCACTGCTGTAGATCACTGCTGCAACAGAAGTGCTTGTGGTCTGATTCATATTTGTGTGAATTAAAATTTATATTTCGTGTTGGACTATGGCATTAGCCAGACCTGCAGGGTGAGTTGTCAGACAGATGCTTCACAGGGCCAACCATCAATTATGCCAATGGAACTTAAGTCTAGTGCAAGACCTATAAAGCTAAAGCAAAACAATGGACATTTTCTTTGCTTTCTGATGAGAGTAGTTTACCAATGTTTTACACAACATATGTTACTGAGTTAATTTTTTTTTTCCTGTAACATGTAGTATCTTGTAGTCTCATACAGGCAAACTGCATTTCACTTAGTATGTAGCAAAGCCTTTAGAAACTAGATGTGATGTTGACTGGCAGTGTGAGCTTCCATTATGATTACATTGTCATCTGCAATTAGTTTGTAGTCAGCTTTGATTCAGAAAAAATCGCATGCTTTCATTTGTGAAGAAAGAAAACAAAGTATATGGGTACTTGTATGACTTGAATTCTTGTCATCTGGTTTGCCAATTATTTGTTATAATCTATCAGACTATCAGATTTAGGATTTTTTTTAAGGTTACCAGTATTTTTTGTGTTGATATTAAATAATGAAGTGATAACACTTTTCCTAGGGAATAACTACATAGTATGAAGTGCACTCAAATGTTGCTTCTAGTGTGGTACTTCTCCCTGTCACTTTCTCAATATGGATAATTATTTATGAAATTTGAGTTGATTCATATGTTAAAAGTTGGTTGCTTCAGTGGTACAAAACTTGACTGGAGTTGGAAACAAAAGTTACAAATCAAACTTCTTAATAAGTGCCAGAAAGGGTGTTTGGATGTTGGGAGAAGTTACAGGATGGTTTAACAAACTGAAATCTTTCCCAGGAAAAATACACAGTATCTCTGAACCAGCTAAAATATGTCTTTCAATGTCGTTATCTTGAAACATCTTTTAAAAACTGCTTGTTTTAAGGCCATGGGACATTATAGACTCAAAACAGCTTTAATGCTTTTTAAAGATGTCAATTAATAACTGCGAAAAGGACTGGAATTCTAATTCAATATGCTTTGACATCTGTCTAGTTCATGCTGTTCTGGAAGCAGGGACAGTGGTTTTTTCCCCCTAGTGATTCATAGGGGTATTTTATAGGAAGTAGCTTCTGTTAAGTAGAAAGCTAATTTTGCCTGTTGTCTTATATTCAGACAAAGAGATTACTCTGTCAGAAGATTCCAGCATTGCAGTGCTCACTTCTCTACACAGTAGGAATATAACAGGAAAAGAGTTTTAGAAGGGAGCTACAAAAACTGTACAAAGGCTTCAAAATCTGTGATATAAATGCCCTCTGGTTTGGTGTACTCTGTGAATGCACAACAAGCTTGAGAGGCAACTTTAATGAAGCCAGGCAGCCAGGAAAGGCCATGAGTTCGCAAGCATTCATGGGAAGAGAAGAATTTTTGTTGCAGGTCAACAAAAATTATCAACTTCAGGTTTGAGTAGCAGGCTGTCTTGGTTTGGAAAGACAGGTGTCTGCTAAGGAAGACAGGAGCCTCCCCTGAAATGGAAAAATGTAAACCCCTTCCCACCAAATTGTTATAAATTAAGGGAGCTCTCAAGCAAAATATGGGAGCAGGAATAACAGTTCTTTATTAGGGAAGAAAATAAAAAGATAAAATAAACAATGCAGTGACCCAAAACAACACTGACAGAATCAAAATACAACCTGACACCCTGTCAGTCAGGGTGTTGGCTGCAGTCCAATTGGGAATTACGGCTGCAGTCCTCCTGGAGCGGCAGGTGTGGTTCTGTTGGAGCAGTGATCCTGTAAAAAAGGGTTGTAGTCTTCCTGCAGTGGCAGAGACAGCTGTTCCCTGGGAAATCCAGTGCCAGGAAAACCCGTGCTGGTGTTCCAGAAACTCAAGACTATATATCCAGTTAGGAATGCTTGGCTCCTCCCTCTGGGCGCAGCATCTCACAATGGGATGTTACATCAGTTGATGGGTGTGCATCCTTTTGCACACCCATCAACTGAAGCAGAAATCTGAGGCAGGTAGTCTAATATTACTTAGGTTATTGGATGAAATATGAATATTTATTGGTTATCTTTTATGATAGCAGAAAAACTGTAGTGACTTACCTGCCAGAAGCCACAGCCATGAACTTCATATGTAGATAGGCTACTGGAAGTTATCGTTGAGTTGTCCGTGAATAACAATTGATGGTTGCAGCTCCTGTGAATAAAAATGGCAGAAGAGGACTCATTGAACCATGAGGTTAAATATTTTTACGATGTATCCCAGAATATGAGCAGTTGGGCATATAGAAGTAAGTAAAAAGGAAGATTGATGGGGCAAGTAGTGTAAGAAGGGAGTTTGGGCATATCTTGATTGCTGAATATACAAGATGCAGAAAGACAATAATTATTTGGAGAGAAATAAAGAACAAACACAAAGTTAATATGATGCCATGTTATTAGCCCAGCATTTACACATGAATAGTAAAAGGGAGGAGAATAAGTAACAATCATTTACTTTTTATTTTAACGTGAAAGCTACTGGACATAATTTTAGCCTACAGTTTGCTAACAAAATAGGAGTAAATGTTTCTTCACATAACCATTTGTTAAACTGTGCAAGTCATATCTCCTTGCTGTTGTATCATCAAGGGCTATTCATTTTTGTCTTGCTCAGGAAGCAGAGAGTTATTATGTATTTGTTTTGCTGCTTTTTTTATGCAGTGCAAATGTATGGCTGACCTCTGGTGGGGTTTAATGTGGAGGTTCATAGGAAAGTACCAGCTTGCAGGCAGCATGTGTGATTCTGATTGTGCTTTTCAGTTTGACAAGAGAAATACAGCACAGGTAAATAACTGGACACTAGTGTCAGCATGATCCAGTCCTGCAGGGGCACATTTTTAGAAGCTGCAGTTTGTAATAATTTTGACAAGATTGTTGAATTTATGTGCTTTCAAACTTCAAGGATGATGTTAGAAGTTTCTCTAAATCTTCAGTGCTCTGAGGCAAAATTGTGGCCTGTGTAGAAGTTCAGAAAAAAAAACTGTTACAAAAGCCCTGAATTATTTTCTCTGCTTTTTCTGTCCCTCCTCAGCAAGTGACTTAGTTTTGCTTTTTCTTATAGGTAGTCCACCCTTTCTATGCATATTGGCAGAGTTTCTGTACTCTGAAAAACTTTGCTTGGAAAGAGGAGTATGACACACGACAAGCCTCAAACCGCTGGGAGAAACGAGCTATGGAAAAAGAGAACAAGAAAACGAGAGAGAAAGCAAGGAAAGAGAGGAATGAACTGATCCGTCAGCTAGTAGCTTTTATTCGTAAAAGGGATAAAAGAGTACAGGCTCACAGAAAACTTGTAGAAGAACAAAATGCAGAAAAAACAAGGAAGGCAGAGGAATTTCGGAGGCAACAGAAGCTAAAACAAGCCAAGTATGTACATGTGGAACAAATTTTTTTAAAATAAAGAAACTATCTATGAGGATACCATATAGACATAGATGCTGATAGTAGCTCCACTTTTCATTTAAACATCCTTGAAAATTTTTGGTATTAATTTTGGTCTCAAGTGTGAGCTTTTTAAAACTCAAGTTTCTGCACTGTAAAGATCTAAGACAACTGGGGAATGGTTATCTGGGTGCAGTGGGTAACTGGCTGTAATAGCGCAGAATCCAGTGTGCTTTTATTTAGCTGGGGAAGTAAAACGTAATAGTTATCTTTTTATTTTAGAGAAAAAAAGAATGTAAATTGTAGAATAAGGGAGAACAGGACTATAGCAATCTGGACTTAGATCACCTTCATCACCTGCCTTGGAGCTGTACTTGCTAAAAAGAAAGAGGGGTCAATGAGCTTAGCTTTGTTTCACTTCTTACTCTTTGGAAAGGACTCTTTCCTTGGACTAAATGCAGTGTCAAAGTTTGGCTTTTTTGCCAAAATAGGAAGAGGTGGTCTCTCAACTAGAGCCACAATTTATTTTTTCAACTGGAAGAACTCTTTGCTTGTAGATATGAGGGAGGAGCTTGAATTCTTATTAAGACTGCACTTGTAAAATAACAGCATATAGATAAAAATTATGTAATATCATATATAGAGTATATTGTATACTATTTTTTATATATACATATGTACTTTCCCCCTTAGGGAAAATAAAGTAGCATTATGCATCTACTGACAAGTGGCTTGATAATTCTGAGGCCAGAAGCTAGCTGGAGTAAAATTCAGCTGTCCTGTGATGCTATATTTGATGACTTGGGGCACAGTTAAATTGGGAGAACTGAGCTGGTACATTCCCATTATGCACAGTCAAAGAGTAATGTGATTGTGGATTTTTTTGTCCTGTATTTTTTGTGAGTTTGGATCTTAGAGTAGGATTGAGCTGATTTCCTTGCTGTCAGTTTGATATTGACCATGCTGCCTGAAATTCAACCAGGACCCACCTATGTTAGTATCTTTGCTTGCAGTGTAGAGGTGCCCATTGACATCACAAATTAACTCAGGTTGCTCAGATTTCCAATTATTTGCTCTACCACTTTCCTCCTGAGATGCCCAAGAAGAATAGTTACCTTTAAGTAGAAGTTAGCTTTCAGTAACACTGTTCCTGTAGTTCCCATCTCAGGGACACTGTGTAGAAGTTACTATGTTCTGCTTGCAGGCTTGCTGAGCAGTACAAAGAGCAGAGCTGGATAACTATGTCAGATCTGGAGAAAGAGCTGCAAGAGATGGAAGCACAATATGAAAAGGAATTTGGAGATGGATCAGGTGGTGAAAATGAATTAGAAGAGCAGGAGACAAAAGGCATTGAAGGTATAGTGTGTAGGGAGGTGATATATACTGAGTCACTGCAGTATGAGTGTGGCTTGCTTAGAGCCTCAGATTCACAGTTCTGGCTGTAATGCAACTCACTCCCTCCCTCTGAGAATGGTGGGCTAGAGTCTGTCCCTCTCTGGTGTTTTCCTTTGAACAACCTGCAGCTGTTAACTTACACCAGTGTCTGATTTGGTGAGGTTATATTGAGCTGTCTGTGTGTCAGTAGTACTGGAGAAATTGAATGTCAGCACTGTGACTATTTTCTGGGGCTTAAAGAGCATCTTGTTCAAAAATTGTTCATCTGACTTTGTCTCTCTGATCCCCACTGATCTCTTCAGACAAACTGAATGACGAAAATGAAGAAGCTGAACTTGTTGATGGTCTGTACTGCCCTGCTTGTGACAAATTGTTAAAAACTGAGAAAGCGTAAGTATTTGTGGTTGGGGATTTGGGGGTGGAGGTGTTGGGTTTTAAGTAATTTAAAACTGCATTCTAGAGAATTTTTAACTTCACATAATGATGAGTGTTGTCTTTCCAGTAAAGACATTGTCACTGCAGAAATTTCCATACTTGGTAGTACTGGATAATGGGCCTGTTGTTATTTTATATGTTAATATAACAATGTTTGCTCAGAGGAACCTGCAGTAACAATCTGGTCTTCACAGCATGAAGAATCATGAAAAATCAAAGAAGCATCGAGAGATGGTGTCACTGTTAAGACAGCAGTTGGAAGAGGAGGAAGGGAGATTTCCTGTGCCTTCGGATGATGCAGATGGAATACAGACCAAAGAGGAAGAAGAAACAGAAGGCATACCCAAACAGAAGTACTTCAAATTGTTTTTAATTTTATCATGACTCATGATTTACTAAGTCTCAGTGGCCTTCAGAGGGTGCTCCTGACAATTTGCTACTACATTGCTGTCATTATTGTGTAATTTGAAATACTTCTTAGCAGCAGAGTTCCAGTAAAACACATGCCTTTGCATGACTGCATTCAAGTGCCATAAAACAGACTTAGTTTTTCTCTGCTATGTTTCCTTAACATATGCCTAAAGTTATATGTTAAGGAAAAAAAGGGTTTGTTATTTTTCAAGCAGAGGGACTTCCACAGAGCTCGTGCTTATTGATTTGGTACTTACTGTCAGTTGATTGCTGGCATAAATAGAAAATGAATGTGCTCAAAATCAGAATTGTTACACAACTTAATTTTTGAAACAGAGCATAATCCCAACTATCTCACTGGTGTTTATCTTTGGATTCAGTCTGAGCAGAACAAATGTTTTACTAAATGCAATGAGTAGTTTGGGAGACCTATTGTTTTAATTCTGGCTTGAGTAACTTTCTTTTTGTGGCTACTTAATAGCATGTTGTGAGGATAAAGGAAAAGTATAGCTTGATGTCTTTTTAGAAACTGTACTAGGTTTTGAGGGTTTTCTGTAAAAAATGGTAATTTAAAAATTATCTTTACAGGCTCTCAAAGAAACAAAGGAAGAAGCAGAAAACAATGAAGGTATGTAGTCATAGTCATACTCTGGGACCTTTACAACCCAGATTGCTTAAGAAGCCAAAAACCAGCATTTAACTCCTGACAAATTATTTCTCTATCCTGCAAAACAGGAACTTGAAATTCCACAGAATTTGAAAACTATTTTAAAATATTTTAAATTATTTTTTGCCACCATAATAACTTCTATTAGAGTAATTATAATCATATTTCATCATAGTAATAGACCTCACTTTGTTCTGTTAGTGCAGATGTGGTGCTGACTCTAAAAAGGCTGTAGTCTGAAGTATTAAAGAAAAGCAGATGGAAACAGGCAGATAGGGAGAATGCAAGAAATTGATCAGTAAGACCAGTAGTGGCCTTGGTGCATAAAGAACTCAGCTTGGTGGTCACTTCTGGCTTTAGTTGTAGGACTTGGTATAATGCGTTGTTTTTTAATCTGTAATTTAGAGGGGGTTGAAAAGACTGCCACAGTATTGGTTTCCTGCTGGTACTGTAGCTGTTGTAATGGACACATCCATTCCATCTTTCTCTTGAACTGCAAACAAAAGTAGCTGTTATACTCCAGTAAAGTAATCTGTTGTACTCCAGGATCTGAGTCTGTGTGTGATATCACACATCTGTGCTGACAGCAGCAGGTGAAATTCACCAAGAACAAGCTGTTTTAGGCTTGAGTGACAGGGATGTCACAGTCAGCATGCTGCTCTGTCTGCTTTCCTCAAACTTTATCCTTTTCAAGTACTCACTCCTCAGTCCTAGCCTTGTTCCAGTGAGCTGTCTGTATCAGGTCCTGCCTCTTCCATGCTTTCTCCTGTAATTTCCTATTCTCTGTTCAGCTTTTCTGTCCTCTCCCACTCCATCATTATCTCTTGTTCTTAAGAAACTTTCCTGAGACTTTCAAGCAGCTGAAGCTTTCTGGCTTCACATTGGTCTAGTTGCATAGTCCGAGTATTGGCTGGATGTTCATGTTTCTATGCAGCCTCCTGTTTGAGACCAGAAGGTCTATTCTCACTGCAGGGGTGGCACACAGTCACCGTGGCTCTGTTCCAGCAGTTTGCTACAGCCTGAACAGTAGGTGCCACTCTTGCGTTGCCGAAACTGGAATCTTGTGCTGGGAAATCCTGACATCCATCCTTTGCCAAGCATTGTGGAGTATTGAGAATCCCTGTGGGTTTTATTTTCTTTTCTCGAAGTTAGGACTAGCCAAGGTTTTTTTTCAGGTAGCTGAAACTGTGCACTAGAGATGGTAAGACTTGCATTAACGTGGTGTTAAGTCAAGTTTGTTATTGTGCTTTTGGGAGCTTTGCCTTTCTGCTTCAGTCAGGGACTTGATATTTTGCCCAACTTCATGTATTAAGTCTAGTGTGGATGATGGGAAAAGGCTGCCACTATCTGCTAGGGAAGGAAAATACAGCGTGTCTGCCTAATTTCAATCAGCTCAGTTATTTTGGCTTGAGTGTCCTAATGCAGTTGTCTGGCACAGAAAACTTTAGTCTAAATAATTAACCCTTTGCAAAGTTATAGGCCAAGCCACTATCTGTGAAATAAGAAATGGTAGTCAGAACAGGATGAACCCTGTGTATAAGTTGAAAGCTACCTTCATCCTCCTCTTCTGCAGTTTCAGAGGCTGTTTTCTTGGTGTTTCTTCCCTTCACCACAGGTGGCCTCATCTTTCAAAACAGGAGAACTAAGGTGTTTTACATGTTACAGTCTCACTGAAAACACACAGTAAATTAAGAGGGTCCATGGCTTTCTCTCCTCCCAACCCACCCACATTTGAGGTAAATGAGTATAATACTATAAACATAGTCATTAACGAACTGAAAGTATTTAACTGGGATTTTTTATGTTTGGACAGAGTTATGAAGACTCTTTTGATCAAAGTGCTGATGAGGAAACAGTTGAGCAAAAGGAAGTGCCCTGCATGGAGAAGGACAGGGGCTCAGCAGAGGAGTTGGTAAATGATGGCCAAAGATGTGTTGTGTCAGAGGACGCAGGCATTACAGATGATGTCAGCCAAGAGAATGAAACAAAAAGTGAAGCAAAAAGGTGTGTTGGGTTGCAACATTGCAGTCACTGTGTCATTCCGTGTCATGTTTGATAATGTCAAACAAAGATAGATTTATTCTAAAATGTGGACTTTGGGGCTGCTCACCAAAACTGATTGCTGCCATATCACTTCCCAGAAGCTGATTCAACATTTTGAGATTAACAATTGACTGTATAAATCTTTTTTTCTGGATACACTTACATTTCATTAGTGAAGCAAGAACAATGGAAAGCAGCAGAGACATTGAAAACTGAAAAACATCAGAAGTTTGTAAATGCTGAATGTTCCTGTGTACTTATTTTGGTTCATCTTTGTCTGTTAGCAGCACTAAGCCTAAAGGGAAAAAAGCAAAGGAAGCAAAAAAGTCTTCAGAGAACTCAACAACGGTATGTCAAATTATTTATACTATTTAAAATAGAATCATAGATTGGAAGATGATCTAGTTCCAGTAGACCACATTTCTCAAAACCCTGTCCAGCCTGGCCTTGGATACTTCCCAGGGATGAAACAGCCACAACTTCTCTATGCTGATGCCTTATCACCCTTACAGTAAAGAATTTTTTCATAATGTGTAATCTAGACCTGCCCTCTGTCAGTTTAAGACCAATGCCCATTGTCCTGTCACTATGCCTGTATAAAAAGTCACTCTCCCTCTTTTATGTAAGCCCCGTTAAGGCACTGGAAGGCTGCAGTGAATTCTCCCTGGAGCCTTCTCTTCATCTTTCTCAGCTTGTCTTTTTAGGAGGGCTAAAAGTTGGGGAACATATAACTACACAGAAGGCTGTTTTTTTTGTCACCTACAAAAATTTTGATAGAGCTGAAACTTCAGCTCTTGTCCTCACAGAGAAATGCAGGACTCAGCTTCATTTCTAGGAGAGCTGGTGAAGTTCTGTGTACAAGACAGTTCAAATAAATTAAACAGCTGAGGACAGAGCTGTTCTCACCCAGCAGGTGACAGGCAGTACTGTTTGCATCTTTCTCAATATTGATGCTTGCTGGAGAGCAAAACTTTGTAGTAACTACAGCTAAGACAATACTAAATTTACTGCATCTCAAAGCCCAAAGCATTATCTGTATGGTCTGGTGAGATCAAAACTATTCTTTACTTTGAATTAGATTTGCAAGGCTTCCATTCTTGATTTTACTTAAAGCACTTTGAAAGTTATATTTATGTTTATTTTTTAAAAATATGTGTTTAATTGTTAATAAATAACAAAATTCTGATGACAAACAAACAGTTTATTCCTGCTTCATTGCCAAGGAGAAACTGTGTGCAAGAAATTGGTGTATTGCACTGGTGACATATTCAATACAAATGTGAAGCATTCTGGGTTTTTTTTCTCATTGTAGAATGAAGTTCCTATCCACTGTGTAACCTGCAACTGTGCATTTACATCCCGAAATAAATTGTTTGAACACCTGAAAGCCACAGGACATGCAAGAGCAACAACAACACCGACTGTAAATGGAGCTGTGAACGCCAAAAACAAAAAAGAGAAACGTAAAAACAGATAGAACTTTGCTATAGTGACAGTCTTCAGAATTGTACATTAACACTCTCGCAGAACTGAAACATGCACACTGCCTGTGACTGGAGTTAAACAAAGGCAAGTACCAACGTAGGAAAAAAATGAAGACGCACAAAAGGAATACTACCTTGTGGAAGACTCTGTGCTTTCTTCTGTTCTTAACAGCCTTCCTTTAATCATAGAATGGTTTGGTGTCATGGCAGAGATGGGTGTTCCTTCCACCAAGCCACATTGTCTAAAGCCCTGTACCCTGAGCAGCTTTTACACCATGGGTGGGGAAATAGTAACTCGGAGCTACTCATCCTGTGTTCCTCTAGAGCCTGCATGGATTATCTCAACACAGAGGAAATAATAAATTATTTTGACACGTTTGCTGTTGCTTTTCTTTTGAGAGGGCTCAGCTCAGGGTGAGTGTAGCCAGTTGCAGGGCCTGTGCTCTGTTGGTGCTAATAACACCCAAGTCATGGGTTTGATCCCTCTATGGGCTGTTCACTTAAGGGCTGGCTTGATGATCCTTGTGGATCCCTTCCAAGTCAGAATATTCTTTGATTCTTGATCCTCTATCAAATATGAAGCACCACCAAGATACGGGCTTTTTTTCTGCCATTCTCAAATTACTTAATTACATTAAGCAGCAGACAGAAGGGAAGGAGTTAGATGACAAAGCTGTTTAATCAGTTTTGACAATTCCTGTTTGTTCTGTACATCTATCTCCATGGCAGTTGTTGGGGAAAAAAAGTCTGGTGGAACAGCCTTGCTGGAATAAGTGAAGGAGAAATAAGTGAGTGACATGAATTAATTAATTTGTTCTGATTTCTAAGGAAAGACACCGTGATTCTGTTTAAAGGCATAATCTGCCTGATCTTCAGTAGAAAAAAAAGGTGGGATAGCAAACACCTGATTTTAGAGTGGAATTGGTTTGTATACAGGAGTTATCAATGGAGTTAGAGAAAGCAGTGCTCAGCAAAGGCAACAATATTGTTTAGGACCCATGGAGTAAGATTTGGAGAGGTACTGATGCTCTGTTACCAAAGTTCCTCTGAAGAATACTCTCCTCCCCCAAACCTGACACAGTACTTTATTGAGTCAATGAATTTTTCCAATATTAAAATTGGAATAAAAGTAAAATGATAAATGTACAGTTCTTGCTGACTATCCACAATATCTGGTTTTTTTTTTTTTATTGGAAGCCAAAGGAAGCAATGACCTTACACATTAAAATGTGATTATGTAAGAAAGAATATTTTATTCCATGTTCCAGAGTTTGCACTTTTAAAAAATGATTAATGGGTGTGCTATGCAATCCCAAAAGCAGTAGGAGGAAAAGAGAAGTGTGTTTTGGAGAGAGTGATGACTGGATTTCTTATCCCCATGATAAAAATAATTACTGTAATTCAAAACATCTCAACTGTCTGCAAACTTTTTGTAATGCTCTAATTACAGTGTGTCCTTGTAGGCAGGGTAAACAGTTTTAAGTCTAAAATTTATTTCCCAACTCTTTCTGTCACTCTTCCTTAAAATTACTGATTTTGATAGGATTTTCACAGGGGAAAGAAGAACACATGCCTGCCTCTCCATTTAATACTCTGTTAATCCAGTCACGGATTTTTTGATAATGGCAAAATAGTTGTGTAGTTCATACAAATCAGCACTGTAGAACTGAACTGTAGATTTACAAATCAGATTACACCATATCCTTTGTTGATATGGTGTAATCTGTTGTAACAAATATGTTGATACCTGTCAGAATGCTCTTATGATACTCAACAAGCATGAAATCGTCACACTGTGATTTTATTTTCCAGGGTAGATTAGTGCCCAGTCTAGGTCGCAAGTATCAGGGATTGTATGTGCCTCTCATGTAAGGAAACAAATCAATTCTATTTTGCAGCCGCTCTTTCCACGTGTCTCTGTAAAGCAGTACAAAATACTTCCACAGCAAAGTCGACATCGCTCTTAGTAATGCACATAGGAGGCTTAATTCTGAAAGTCTGAGGAGCGAGAACAAGGAGAAAAATAAATGCTCAAATTGTACAGAAAGAATATGGTTTCAAGCAGCCTATCTGGGTCAGCACTCCCGCCCCGAAAAAGTGAGGAAAAAAAGAGAACAACAGTGCAGGCACTGAGGCTTATGATAAATATACTTTGAAGTGGAGCAGTTTTGAACTTGACTGCACTGAATTGCATCTGACTCATGACCCCCTCTTGATAACCTAACTGCCTCCACAAAAGACCTAAGTAGAGTAGGTTGTGTCTGCAGCTCTGTTTGGCAGACAGAGACAGAGTAAAATCTCAGAGGATTTGTACGAAGAACAGAGACAGACCTATTTTCCTTTCTTGCAGCTCTACTGCAGGGAAAAGTAGTATCTTCTGAGAGTGGCAGGCTCTTGCATTGTGTCAGTTGATTTGCTGTTTTATTATAGGCTGCTTTTAAAGGCTTTTAAGAGAATGCATTATGAATGAATCACTAAATACTGTATTGTAGTTAGGGTGCTATAGCTGGAAAGCATCTTGATCAGGAAGGGTTATAATTACAACTACACTTGTCAAGAACATAGGCTCTTAAATCTGAATGTTCAATCTGTGTTTCCAAGAGTATTCATTTTGCATAAGAATCTTAAATTTCGGATTTTTTGAAATGGGACTTAATACAGAGAGAGTGGAGTAATGGGTTTTTCCACCCACAGCCCCTGCTGAAGCAAACACTCACAGGTAAACAGCCCTCTTACCAGACAGAATGAGATTTTACTGCACTGAGTTTCAGCTTGTTACCTGCCTCCTGGTCTGTGACTTAGGGAAGAGTTGATGAGGTGACAGACACAGTATCTGATTTATTTTAGCTACCCTCCATCCATCTCACATGGAAGCTGCCTCCTCTGTTGTGTCAGAGGGCTTCACTGACCAGGCCAGCCCTGAGACAATTCTCTGCCATTAACAGAGTGCTTCAGGGAGCTGGTGCAGTGTCCTGGCTCCAGCATGGAGTACACTGTTAGCTGGTGTGGGCTGATGGCCTTCACATCCAAGTCTCTCTTATGTACTGTTGCTGAACTTGCTGTAAACACCATTCCCCCCACCCCCCCCCCCCTTTAATTACTATAGAATTAGAAAATTACAAGCTCCCCAGACTCAAAGAACTAGTTTTGTACTGATATGTCAGGTGATAACCTAGACTGTACAAAGACTTGGTCCTGAGTATTGATGAGTTCTTCTAAATTGCATAGACTGAAGTACCTTGGTTTTCTAGGGGTAGATGTCCCTCTGAAGGAAAACTCCAAGCTTTGAGCTTGTTCAGAATGTCTGAAAATAGTAATACAATTCCTGTCCAGTTTTAAAGTGAGCAACATTAAACAGAGATAGCTTCTAAGAGTATACATTTTCTACTTTATTCACTAAACTAAATTAACTTGAGGGAAGCAGGCATGTAGTTCACAAGGACAGCAGATAACCTTTTTTATAACCAGAGGTTCAGTACCTGACTGTAGAGTCCTCCTCTGCCAATCAGAACCCCCATATCTTTACAGTCCTCCCATATTTGACTGATTTCTTCAGCTGGAAGAGGGTGTCGGTTGTCCTAAGGAAAGGAAATACTAAACTTCACTTAGATATTCTATATTAGTTTTGTGACAAAGATGTATATTCCAGTCTCTCCAATAAATACCAACTCTAGCTGAAAATGTTAGCTGCATAACTTACCTGCTGTCATGAGCCTGTGCAGTTAAGGCACATATCACTGTTTACTCAAAGCTTGTGAAGTAGCTGAATGATGGAATGTTCTGGCTCATTTTTAGCCAGAGCAATGTTTTCCAAC